GGATGCTCCCTTATATTGCGATAGCGTCCTGTAGTATATTTCTATATGTTTTTGAAAATAATACTTATTATTATGATAGTACTACTAAATGAAATATCTTGGTAGCTTCAGTTTCCATTTCTATACTACGACGTAGGATAACTGACGCAATGCACAATCAAAGCGAAGCGGTGCAATGGCAAATGACGACTTTTCTGGGGGCATCACTCCCCAGATATAGGTGTCATATTTTGGTCAATTCAAACCTTACAACAAGCATGTTTATTATTTCTAGAACCACCGATAGGATGGACCTAAGTCCCTACGACCGATATAATTGATGCTCTTGATTTCCTTGACTTGGCAGCTTTGAGATTTGATTTGGCCTCTTCTACCCTATCTCTAAAAGGGGCAGCTTGCCTTCGCGAGTCCGCCGGTCGTACCGGCTCGATCTTCCCGCAACCGCGGACAGATCGAGCCTTGATGATTCAGCGACTAGGCGATGGCCGTAGGCGTCGAGATAACTCGGCGATTCCGCGGGCCAGGAGTCAGTCGGCTGCGGAGGGAGCCTAGCTCCCTGCTGAACGCTCTACGCGCCTAAATGCGCTGCGAAGATGACATCATGAACGTGGAGTTCATGACAACGACGATACCAAACAAATGGTTCGTGGATCGAATTTGCGACTGAATTTCATGCCCGGCAAATTAAGCCTCGGTTACCTACGAGATTTATTCGCTTGTGTCAACCTTAATCGTTCCGATGTATATACGGATAAAAACATCGATTTCCACATAGGAACGTTTTCCGATTTCCTCGTAGGAACGAGATTTAAAACCTATGAGAAAGAGGCAGTCAGTGAGTGATAATTGAATCGTATTTGTATTGGTTAGCACAGATACGCATTCAATTATCACTGCGATTTTTACCTGATTGTGAGTGCATGGCGTAACCCATAGTGACTTTAGGCGTAGATTTCTTTCTTTTTTCGCTATCTCACGCAAGCAGTCACTGTAAGATTCCGGAAACAACCTATAAAAAGGTGTAATTTATCATTTGCAGCTCATTCAAGTTTTCGAAGCGCTTCTACTTTATTTTCGACTTGTCGCGCCTATACGAGCGCTGCCGGTGAATCATCTAAGCTGGAAAAACGGCTTAGACGTCGCATCTGGCGCTGATAAATACATCGCTCCTACAGCCTAACGAGTATCGTCTTCACAATACTTTGCTTTCAAGTAGTCGTAGAAACACTCCACGGGCAGCTTCTCGACAAACTCGGCTTAGCACCAGCATATTGAGAATTTAGCGCTAAGTGCTTAGCTTCCAAGATGTTGGTACAGCATTTCTCACCCACCTTCACTTCGATGGCCGTTAAAAGCAGCTCTTGGGTATGGAAATGCATTGCCCTCAAACATTCTTTTCCACAGAAGGTCACTTCGTTCGTGCCCGGCCGGCCAGACGTTCTTCTTCTCTCCCTAGCGTTAGTCCCGCGCAGTCGCAGGGTCCGCTGTTTTTGTCAGTCGTCGCCACTTTGCTCTGTCCAGGGCATCTTCCATCGTGGCCGTGACCTCACCTAGGTCCTCCTTGATTGTATTTGCTATTTTGGAGGAAGTTGTATTTGGATCGATGAAGGTCAGACTGTTGAAAAACGAGATGAGGAAGTTGTGGTTGTAGGAGAGGTTTTTTTCATGGGTTCCTAGTAATTTTTTGACAAACAAAAAACAGTGAAATGGATGAAACTAGCCTATTTCCATTTCTTCGGCTATATGTAGGTCCCTCCGCTCGCTATTTCGGAAGAAAAGTGGGTGTGTTGGGATATGGTGTTAGAGTTCCGACTGACCATTTAGGGTCGTAGAAGCATCCCTGAAGGAGTGGAGCCTACAGATGTTCGAACCCCATCGCTAATACGACGCGACCGCGTTCATGTGCAAGCGTTGGCGTGTCTAGTCCTGAAGGGCGCGTTTTGAGGGGTTTATTCCGTCACGCTATCACGCCGTAGACATCCGCGCTCTTCTTGATTAGCTCCACATGATCTTGTTGGACGTCTTCCGCTTCTTCAACTGCAATCTTTCCTTCTCACGAGCATTACGTTCATGTGATTTGTTTATCTTCCAAGGGTACATGGCACAATGCAGGTTGTGGCCAATTAACTCTCAACATCATAGTCATTCGTAAATGATACATGGCTGACTTCCAGCACATGACGTGTTCTTCCTACGTTTTGATGAAATTATTAGCGTTTTTTTTATTTAAAGTTCCATAGATATATTGTTTGGCTCTTATAAAAAGGGGGTTCGTTGCAATAGTAGACTCTTCAATTGAGTATCATAGTTAATAATTGTCTACATATAAACTTACTACTAATGAGAGTAGAAGGAAATACAAAAAAAAAAAATAAAAAAAAAATAAATAAAAAAATAAATATGTAACAACCGTCAAAAGTTGCCTACTTGCGGCTGTGACACATTTTCCCCATATACCATATTTGGATTCGGTACACAGTGCGTCAAGGAATCCGATATATGGCAAGCTAGGATTGCGTAATCTGCTTGAGCTCTCCCCTGTGTCTCTGCCTGCGTAAAGCATAGCGCAAGCGATCTAGAGATGGGTGAACCATTTTATTCTTGGCAAAGTTTGATTGTGTCAGATCACAGTAATCATAAGCCGCTGTTAAAGCGAGAGAGCGCAGGCGAGAGCATCAAATCGCGGCGGTTTAAAGGACTGAGTTCAAGTTGTCCGTAGACCGGCAAGTAGACAGGCGTCGACTCGTCCACGCATTCGTCCACCTGCCGCACGGCCCTTGGCCACGCCCACCAGCGCGGCGAGCTGGCGATTCTGTTGACACGGAGCCGTAGGTCAGCATAGCGAGCGTCAGAATAGCGTCATTCGTGATACCGATTTTTAAGCGAGCTACTATGATCCACAAGTCTGCAATTACGGCACGTCCTACTGCGAGGAATGGAGTGATTTGAAAAAATTCCTGCTCTGCTGTTGTTTTTGGTACTAGCTCTGTCATCTAGCGGCCTAAGCATTCGAGAAAAAAGTGGATAGGAGTGGTCTAGTTCAGCAGAAAATGTTACCAGGCTCTTCTGGTGTGCCCGATAATTTCAATAGCAAATCACAGTAACACGCCAGAATTGGATTTTGTTTCCTTTCGGCATTGTGATTTACCGCTCATTATCACGTTGTATCACATGTTATCAATCGCTGCTAGACCCAAGACCTATTTTGAAGGCTCAGTCACGATTAGCTGAGTGGAATAAGGCACGTGCAAGTAAGGTGGGCCGGTCCACAAGCTCAAGAAATGGTCGT